GATTTCAGTTCACAAGTAATGAGGGTTTTATTATTGGGCAGGCCTCTTACTTAAAGTGTATAAGAATGCCAATGACACACGCAGTAATAAGCTGGTAGCTAGTGGTTACTTTTTATGCAAATGTACCTCTGATGTCTGCTCTGAATGGGAATATAAATGCTTTGGCAATTTTCAATTTGTGCTTTTATGCATTCCGTCCCCTCTAAGCGCCAGAAAATAGAAGGATGAATGAAAGTTGACTCTGAGAATCAATAGGCAGATTTGTTATATTTTTTGTTTTCTGAAGCCTTTGGTTATTTTTTTATTGTAAAGAAAAATTTCACTAAATTATCTTATTTTTGTTTACATTTCTCTTGAAGCTTCCCTAGAGCAAAGGATAGCCCCCAGATCCCCCCTCCTCCGCACAACACATAGGAAATAAAACCATATCTAGCTTTGTGCTTGTGAGTATGTATTGCATTGACATTCAGAAACCGGGTATTTAGTCAGCTAACTATTTGATATATCATCAAATACAAGTTTTTGCATATTCCAATGTGTATGTGAGAGTTTAAGGCCAGAGACTTGAGATGTTACACATGAATCTTGGAGCACATGTTGGATCATGCCCTTAAAGGCCATTATTGATAAACAGTCCATAAAGTGCAGAAATATCACCATAAGGAACTCTGCTAATGCTCCCCGGTACTCTCAACACTTAAATATAATAATTTATTTCTGATGCCAGAAGAATAACCTAGAGATGTCCTCATACTAACAGTCAGCCTGGCTTACTGACTAGCCTATCAGTTGTAGGCATTATTATATAATGATGAGACCATGAAGTACGGACGGTTCCCTTGTTATAATCTAATACATGAAAAGAAGGGAAAACAAATGCTTATTGTTTAATCTTTTCTTACCCAATTTGAACATTCTATTAACAATTACCATGAAAGCAACAGTCTAACTAGAGTGATAAATTTATAGCCATACATTTTAAATGTCTGAATCTCATCAAAAAATCACACCAACAACTCTTAATTTAGATTCAGGGAACGCTGAAAAGGAAAGAAGAACCGTAATCATAGTTGGCCAAATTCCAATATGGCTAATTATATTCTGAATATGCAAATTCCCCTTCTGAGTTAATTGAATAAAGTATTCTTATTAACTTCTGTCCCTGTGTGGTTGTGTAGCGTTATTGGTGCTCTTACAATGGATGCTGCATCCTATCCCAGAGATGACTGCTTTTCAGGTGAAGTATGATGGTCCTTTTACATATACCTGACTCAATTTTGCATTTTCCCCTTGTTGTAACTGCAGGATCAGGTCCCTAGTTCATTATTTTACAAACCACTTTAAAGCATGTGAAAAGTCCTATATAAAATAAATAAATGAATAATAATATAATCAAAAATAACTAAGGATAGGTCTATGTTGCTAATAGAAATATTACCTTTCCCAGTGGCTACACACATTTGGATCTTCAAGATTCAAGGATAATGTTGATCCCATCCAGTGATGTAACAGCACAACTGGGATGCTCACAAACCACTTCAAATAAATAACCATCTTTTCAAACAAATGACCTGTAAAAAACATGATTAATATTATGTCAAGGTAATATTCAAACTATAAACACTGGGAAACAAATTCCTCCTTCATTAAACTGGTTGCACCAGGATAGAATCTGATCCCAAACCAAATTATACAGGCATTTAACAGCAAGATACATGCTGACAGTCTAGTAAGAGGAATACAATGCTCTCCTTAATAGAATTCAAAATCAGAAATTAAATGTGAATTGGTTAGATGACATTAGGTGAGCAAATGCACTATGGCACCTCTGGAGACCAGTGTAGGCACATCTGGATGAGCAGATTTTCTGATTTTATAGGGACAGTCCAGATATTTTGGGCTTTGTCTTATATAGGTGCCTACTATTCTCCACACCCTGTCCCAATTTTTCACACTTGTCTGGTCATCCTAGACCTGAGTCACCAGTGTAACTGTGTTAGATAGACTCAATTTACATACTAATGCTTATCTCAGATTGGAGAGGGGTAACTAGTGGTGTACCCCAAGGGTCAGTCCTGGGACCAGTCCTTTTCAACTTATTCATAAATGATCTGGAGAAAGGGGTAAGCAGTGAGGTAGTAAAGTTTGCAGATGATACCAAACTGTTTAGGATAGTCAAGACAGAAGCAGACTGTAAGGGACTCCAAGAAGATCTCACCAAACTGAGTGATTGGGCAACAAAATGGCAAATGAAATTTAATGTGGATAAGTGTAAAGTAATGCACATCGGGAAAAATAACCCCAACTATACATACAGTATGATGG